AGGGGTCGGTTGGGCATCCGGAGGTTCCCCGTAGGGGGGGGGGGGGCAAGGGTCAGGGACCCGGGGTTTCCTCGGCGGCGGGGCCCAAATTTGGGGCGGGACCGCCAAACCCGCCCCAGCCGGCGAGCCGGGAATCCTCGGCGGATCGCGGCGGCCCGGCATGCGAAAGTAGCGATGGGGGGGCCCCGGGCCCCAAATGGCGAGAGCAGGGCCCCCTTTTTTTAAAAGCTCCCTGTGCATCCCCAAAGTTGCCGCAAGGCTTTTTCCCCGTCCTTAATAACCTTTCCCCCCTATTCCAAACCCCTTTTCAAATTACAAATTTTTCCCTTCCCCTTCCCTACCTTTCCCCCTCCTACCCTTACCTTTCCCAAAAATTTAAATTTTCCACCCCCCCAAAACCCCCCCTTCCCCCCCCTTTACCCCCTCCCCCCAACCCCCCCTTTCCCTACCTCCCACCCCCACAATTTCCCCCCCACCCCCCTCTTTTCACCTTTAAAATCCCCCCCCCACCCCCCCTTCACCCCGGGTCTGTAAAACCCCCCTTTCCCCCCTTTCGGGAATTCTTCATCCCACCCCTTTCCCCCCCCCCGGATCGGGATCTGGCCCCCACCCCCCAACCCCAACCCGCTCGGGGATGGGTTTTCTTTCACCCCCCACCCCCCGTCTCTGTACTTCTCTATGCAATGCGGGCAGATGTGGCTGGTGGGAGGGCCTGTGAATAATCACAGCACCCGTGATTGAAAGAATGAAAATCCAATGATTGTAAAGGGCGGGATCAAGGACAGTCAGGCTGGGGGATGAAAGAGGCAGGACAGGCAGTGCAGGGACAAAGTTATCCAGCACCCAGGGCAAAAATGTCAAACTGTACCCCCCATTCCCATTCATATGCAATGGGATTCGGCTTAGGGGGTGCACAAGCCACACCTCCTTCAAGCCGACTACTCCAAGCCCTGAGGCCAGGGACAGTCAGGCTGGGGAGGAAAGAGGTAAATGATGCTTGACTTCCTCCAGCCAGGAAAGGAGGCGGAGCTCTATCTGGCTGGCTGCAGCTTCAAATGCACATTGTGAGAAACTCCCAGTGTGCAGTGACATCAGAGAAAGACGTTACAGTCCAGGAGAGGAGCCGGTACACCCTGTGCAAGACTGAGGGGGAGGAGCCAGTACACCTGTACAAGACTGAAGGGGAGGAGCCAGTACACCTGTGCAAGACTGAGGGGGAGGAGCCAGTACACCTGTGCAAGACTGAAGGGGAGGAGCCGGTACACCTGTGCAAGACTGAAGGGGAGGAGCCGGTACACCTGTGCAAGACTGGAGGGGAGGAGCCGGAACAGGGAGGAGCCGGTACACCTGTGCAAGATTGAAGGGGAGGAGCCGGTAGACCTGTGCAAGACTGAAGGGGAGGAGCCGGTACACCTGTGCAAGACTGAAGGGGAGGAGCCGGTACACCTGTGCAAGAGTGAAAGGGAGGAGCCGGTACACCTGTGCAAGACTGGAGGGGAGGAGCCAGTACACCTGTGCAAAACTGAAGGGGAGGAGCCGGTACACCTGTGCAAGACTGGAGGGGAGGAGCCGGTACACCTGTGCTGTGCAAGACTGAAAGGGAGGAGCCGGTACACCTGTGCAAGACTGAAGGGGAGGAGCTGGTACACCTGTGCAAGACTGAAGGGGAGGAGCCGGTACACCTGTGCAAGACTGAAGGGGAGGAGCTGGTACACCTGTGCAAGACAGAGGGAGGAGCCATTACACCTGTGCAAGACTGAAGGGGAGGAGCCGGTACACATGTGCAAGACTGAAGGAGAGGAGCTGGATGGAGGATTTATTCAAATTAGTGCACTCCTATATATTTATTGGAGGAGGCGGGGCATTAGGCAGTTGCTCTTTGTGACATCATTTCCCCAATAAGTACATACTATAGGTCCCTCTTAGGACAGCCCCTTGGCAGTATACAATTCTTTATTAGGACAATGACATCACAAGGGGGTGGGGATTCTCATTGTTTGCAACATAGACCAGAGGCTATTCCCTGTTTGAGCTCCGCCTCCTCCTATGGCGGGCTGCTGCACATACATATCTGGCGGCTCATCCTGCAGAGCCATGTTTTCCATCTCACTAAAACACTTTGGGTCTATTTAGCTCCATCTAGTGGATAGAAGGCAGTATTTTCGTGATTGAGGGTATTTCAGGAAAATACCACATTATGTCCCCTAGGTGGCGCTGATGATCATAGGAAATACACATCTTGGACACATTATGGGCATTGTGTGACACCATCAATCTTTTATCAGATTTGCATAGTCTCCTGGTGATGAATGGACTCCAGTCTGTTATTGGCGGAGCAGGTTTTCCATGAACCCCTCATCCCTAGTAAAGAGGCGGATTCACTATGTACCATCTGACAGCTGATTGGTCGTCAATTCATTACCCCGGTCAGTACCGGGACAAGTTCATCTAATGCCCAGGGCAAGGATACGGAACTGAGCCCCTCCCCCACTGTTAATGCATGCTACAGAATTGGTTTCCTGCCCTGTGCCCATTCTCTGCCCCCTTGCTCCTCTGTGCCCAGGGCAGCTGCCCCTCCTGCCCACCCCTTGTCCCGGCCCCAACCTCGGTTGGTGAGCTGTGTCGGAGCCAGGGGCAGACTGACTATTTGGGCCCTCGGGCACTGCCCTAGGGCCCAGGGTCAGTAGGGGGCCCTATGAGATGCCCCCAGTACCTTTTATAGGCTTTTTTGGGTGTGGTTTGAGTGTGGGTGAGGACACAGGGGCCCCATGATCCCCTATTGCCCGGGGGCCCCGTGAGTTGTCAGCCCGTCCCTGGTCGCAGCACAGAGAGGCGTGCTATACACAGAAGGCACGCAGAGCAAAGAAAACTTGCTGCACTCCTGCATGCCGCCAGTTCTCAAGGCGGTGCATTCTGCTGAGGATATTTCAACGCTTTGCGATTTATTTTATTACATTTTTATCTGAAAACAATGTTACTGATCGCCGCCGGGCTGTGTCAGTACTTCCCTAATTCTGTTCCCGCAAAAGATTCCGGAGCCGCCGTCCGCTCGCCCCGCTCGCCCCGCTCTGCGTCCGCAGCACACAAGGTCTCTGCTTTTCCTTTTCAGCAAATTCTCTAAAAGCAATTTTCCTCTTTTTATTTTCCACAGCAGCAAAGAAAGGACCAATTTGTGGCACAATGGCGGGCGCTCCAATCAGCGCCTCTTCTGTCTGAGGTCTTTGTAGCCGTTTGTGAAATGAGACCAATTACCAGAGAGCTAATGTCAGGGCAACGAGCGCTGAATGGCGGGGGCAGGGCGCCGGCTGATTGGGAATATTTGTGCGTCCATCGCCCGGCGTCTGGATACCTGGAGCCGCAAGAGCACCTCTCGACCGCCATCATGGCGGGTCTGTGCCGGGTCTGAGAGATCACCAAAAAATAAAGACGTCAGCTGTCTCAGACCAGTCCATCGCCACCAAATTCCATTACTGAGGCAAACCTTACACCTGGAACATCCTCCTCACCGCACATTCTGATACATTGAGATACTTTGTGATACATTCTGATACATTCTAATACACTAGTATTGGGCCACCAGACTTTCCCCACACATGAACTCCCAGTCTTAGTCCGTAGGGTTCAATATTGAGTTGGCCCCGCCCTTCCACGCACATGACCTTTAATGGCCTCCCAGTTTTAGTCCGTAGGGTTCAATATTGAGTTGGCCCCGCCCTTTCCACGCACATGACCTTTAATGGCCTCCCAGTTTTAGTCCGTAGGGTTCAATATTGAGTTGGCCCCGCCCTTTCCACGCACATGACCTTTAATGGCCTCCCAGTCTTAGTCCGTAGGGTTCAATATTGAGTTGGCCCCGCCCTTTCCACCCACATGACCTTTAATGGCCTCCCAGTCTTAGTCCGCAGGGTTCAATATTGAGTTGGCCCCGCCCTTTCCACCCACATGACCTTTAATGGCCTCCCAGTCTTAGTCCGCAGGGTTCAATATTGAGTTGGCCCCCGCCCTTTCCACGCACATGACCTTTAATGGCCTCCCAGTCTCAGTGCGTAGGGTTCAGTATTGAGTTGGCCCCGTCCTTTCCATGCACATGACCTTTAATGGCCCCCCAGTCTTAGTCCATAGGGTTTCAATATTGAGTTGGCCCCGCCCTTTGCACACACATGACCTTTAATGGCCCCCCAGTCTTGGTCTGTAGGGTTCAATACTGAGTTGGCCCCGCCCTTTGCAGCTATAACAGCTTCAACTCTTCTGGGAAGGCCGTCCACAAGGTTTAGGAGGGTGTCTATGGGAAGGTTGGACCATTCTTCCAGAAGCACATTTGTCAGGTCAGGCACTGATGTCGGGGGAGGAGGCCTGGCTCGCAGTCTCCGCTCTAATTCATCCCAAAGGTGTTCTATGGGGTTGAGGTCAGGACTCTGTGCAGGACAGTCAAGTTCCTCCACCCCAAACTGGCTCCTCCATGTCTTTATGGACCTTGCTTTGTGCACTGGTGCGCAGTCATGTTGGAACAGGAAGGGGCCATCCCCAAACTCTTCCCACAAAGTTGGGGGCATGAAATTGTCCAAAATGTTGCCTTAAGAGTTCCCTTCACTGGAACTAGGGGGCCAAGCCCAACCCCTGAAAAAACAACCCCACACCATAATCCCCCCTCCACCAAACTTTACACTTGGCACAATGCAGTCAGGCAAGTACCGTTCTCCTGGCAACCGCCAAACCCAGACACGTCCATCGGATTGCCAGACAGAGAAGCGTGATTGGCCACTCCAAAGAACACATCTCCCCTGCTCTAGAGTCCAGTGGCGGTGTGCTTTACACCACGGCATCCGACGTTTTGCATTGCACTTGGTGATGGAAGGCTTGGATGCAGCTGCTCGGCCATGGAAACCCATTCCATGAAGCTCTCTACGCACTGTTGTTGGGCTCATCTGAAGGCCACACCAAGTTTGGAGGTCTTTAGCTATTGACTCTGCAGACAGTTGGTGACTTCTGCGCACTGTGCGCTTCAGCATGCGCTGACCCCGCCCTGTCATGTGACGTGGCCTACCACTTGGTGGCTGAGTTGCTGTTGTTCCCAGTTGCTTCCACTTTGTTATAATCCCCACTAACAGTTGAGCGTGGAATATTTAGTAGCCAGGAAATGTCACGGATGGACTTACTGCCCAGGTGGCCACCTATCACGGGACCACGCTTGGAGTCACTGAGCTCCTGAGAGCGACCCATTCTTTCACCAATGTTTGTAGAAGCAGTCTGCATGCCTAGGGGCTTGATTGTATACACCTGTGTCCATGGAGGGGATTGGAACACCTGAATCACATGATTTGGAGGGGATTGGAGCACCTGAATCACATGATTGGGAGGGGATTGGAGCACCTGAATCACATGATTTGGAGGGGATTGGAACACCTGAATCACATGATTGGGAGGGGATTGGAACACCTGAATCACATGATTGGGAGGGGATTGGAACACCTGAATCACATGATTTGGAGGGGTTTGGAACACCCGAATCACATGATTGGGAGGGGATTGGAACACCTGAATCACATGATTGGGAGGGGATTGGAACACCTGAATCACATGATTGGGAGGGGATTGGAACACCTGAATCACATGATTGGGAGGGGATTTGAACACCTGAATCACATGATTTGGAGGGGTTTGGAACACCCGAATCACATGATTGGGAGGGATTGGAACACCTGAATCACATGATTTGGAGGGCGGGGCCAATACTTTTGGCAATATAGTGTACATTGCGATACTTTCTTCTACATTGTGGTACTTTGTATGTTATGATTGAAGTTACTACAACCAGTCACATACAATAAGGGTCCATTCATGCGATGGCGTTGCACTAATGCATGTCACACGTACGTCGTTCTGAACGGCTGTCCGATGTACCTTGCCGATAGGTGCACGTTGCAGCACAGTGCAATGCAATGCATGGCATCCATTAGCATACATTGCTTTCTGCTGCCAGAAGTGGAGTATGAACCATTTTTGGGTCATTATTGTGGATTGGCAGCCCATTCATTTTAGGCTCCGTTCCCATTTCAGGGCTGCAAGAAACTGAGCGTTTGTGCTCTTGTTCCTGCAATGCACAGCACCACACGCTATCTACTTTGGTGCAGTGACTGCCATTTGTAATTAAATGCACCTTGCTGACTGAGGTGCACTCACATGACTTGTGGTGCTCTGCACTACTGGTACTTTTTTGGTGTTGTCGAAGTATATCACCATCCTATTGGTTTTGAACGGGTACGAGTTAACGTAATAAGGTGTCAAAGCTACCAATAACACTTTTTTGGTTAAGGACCAGAAAAACAAGAAAGTATCCTGTGCAAAATCTTGTTCCTGATTGAAAGGAGTTCCATAAGTCCCCAAAAGGTTGCATTTCTAGAGGTCCCATTGATGGAAATCTGGCCCTGGCCAAGAGTTAGAGCAACCATTCTCAACCAAGGTTTCTCCAGAACATGCTATTGGTTCTTCGAGCAGTGTTGGGTTCACCTCCTGCGTGATGGTGCCTGAATGTGATGGGGCCATTTGCCGGAAATATATGCATGGTGCCAGTGGAGACTCTCCTCTTGTCTCTCAGATAAGTCAACATTGACAGTAAGAGATGGATTCTTTCCAATGTCGTTTAATGTACAGGACATCCTTTGCATGGACCACCAATGTAAGTGGAACATGTCTCCATTGACCATCTATTAAAGGGAGCACAATGGTGACCACCAAAGTAAGGTTGTATGTCTTCATTTCCTTTGGGGCCATTAGTAGTATTTGACCAGTTTGGACCAGCTCCATAAAGACATGGACTGACCAGTTTGGACCAGTTCCTAAAATAAATGATTTGACCAATTTGGACCAGCTCCTAAAAGAAATGGTTTGACCAGTTTGGACCAGCACCATAAAGACATGGACTGACCAGTTTGGACCAGCTCCTAAAATTAATGGCTTAACCAGTTTGGACTAGCTCCATGAGGGCATGGTTTGACCAGTTTGGACCAACTCCTTAAAGACATTGGTTGACCAGTCTGGACCAGCTCCCTAAAGACATGGTTTAACCAGTTTGGACCAGCTCCATAAAGACATGGTTTGACCAGTTTGGACCAGCTCCATGAGGACATGGGTTGACCAGTTTGGACCAGCTCCATGAGGACATGGGTTGACCAGTTTGGACCAGCTCCATAAGGGCATGGTTTGACCAGTTTGGACCAGCTCCATAAGGACATGGGTTGGCCAATTTGGATCAGCACCATAAAGACATGGGCTGACCAGTTTGGACCAGCTCCTAAAGGAAATAGTTTGACTAATTTGGACCAACTCCATTAGGACCTGGTTTTACCAGTTTGGACCAGCTCTATAAGGACATGGGTTTACCAGTTTTCACAAGCTCTGTAAAGACATGATTTAACCAGTTTGAACCAGCTCCATAAGGACATGGGTTGACCAGTTTTGACCAGTTCCTAAAACGAATGGTTTGACCAGTTCGGACCAGCTCCATGAGGGCATGGTTTGACCAGTTTGGACCAGCTCCTTAAAGACATGGTTTGACCAGTTTTGGACCAGCTCCATAAGGACATGGTTTGACCAGTTTGGACCAGCTCCATGAGGGCATGGTTTGACCAGTTTGGACCAGCTCCATAAGGACATGGTTTGACCAGTTTGGACCAGCTCCATGAGGACATGAGTTGACCAGTTTGGAACAGCTCCATAAAGATATGGACTGACCAGTTCAGACCAGCTCCTAATAGAAATGGTTTGACCAGTTTGGACTAGCTCCAAGAGGACATGGTTTGACCAGTTTGGAACAGCTCCATAAGGACACGAGTAGACCAGTTTTGACCAGCTCCTTAAAGACATGTTTTAACCAGTTTGGACCAGCTCCTTAAAGACATGGTGTGAGCAATTTGGACCAGCTCCTAAAAGAAATGGTTTGACCAGTTTGGACTAGCTCCATTGGGACATGGTTTGACCAGTTTGGACCAGCACCATATAGACATGGGCTGACCAGTTTAGACCAGCTCCTAAAAGAAAAGGTTTGACCAGTTTGGACCAGCTCCATGAGGACATAGGTTGGCCAGTTTGGACCAGCTCCATAAGGACACAAGTTGACCAGTTTGGACCAGCTCCATAAAGACATGGTTTGACCAGTTTGGACCAGCTCCCTGATGACATGGTTTGACCAGTTGGACCAGTTTGGCCAGTTTGGACCAGCTCCATAAGGACACGAGTTGACCAGTTTGGACCAGCTCCATAAAGACATGGTTTGACCAGTTTGGACCAGCTCCCTGATGACATGGTTTGACCAGTTTGGACCAGCTCCCTGATGACTTGGTTTGACCAGTTTGGACCAGTTCCATGAGGACATGGATTGATCAGTTTGGACCAGCTCCATAAGGACATGGTTTAATTAATTTGGACCAGTTCCTAAAGCGGTTATAAAGGCTGATAGTACTGCCCCCCCAGCCCCCATAACACTTTCCTGAGCCTGATCCCGATCCACTAGTGTGCTTGAAAGCCCCAGCTCTCCTGATTCTTTGCCTCCTCATTGGCTGAGACACAGCAGTGGAAGCCAGTGAGGACGGAGCGGGGAGCAGGGCCGATCCACGCTTTATGTGTCTTATGGACATACAGGACAAGCTTGGGAGTGAGCAGGCACTCCACAGGGGGGAAGGGCTAGGAGCACTGGCCTTGGGCCCCGGAGAAAGGGAGGATCGGGGATGCTCTGTGTAAAACCATTACACAGCAGGTAAGTATAACATGTTTGTTATTTTAATTTTTTAAAAGTGAAGCTTTACAACCACTTTAAAGACATGGTGCAACCAGTTTGGTGGGGAGGAACACCTTTGGGAGGAATTGAAACATTGAGAGCGAGTCAGGTCTTCTCATCCAACACCAGTACCTGACCTCACAAATGGTCACAAATTCCCAGACATCCTCCTGAATCTTATGGAAACCTTCCCAGAGTAATGAGGGTTGGTATAGCCATAAAGGGAGAAAATCCATAATATTGGTCATGATTTTGGAATGGGATGTTCAACTAGATCATATTCATGTGATGGGCAGGAATACACAAACCTTAGGCCATATAATGTACATATCAGCCTTTCTCAACCTTTTACCCCAGAGAAATGCCTAAAATAATTTTCAGGCCTTCGGGAACCATAATGACATGATGTAGCACTTTACCTAATTGAGGAGTTTTGGGAAAATACAGCATTATGGCAAATAGATGGAGCGGATGATCTTTGGGAATATACTTATTAGAAACATTACAGGGATTACTTGAGATGGCTGTGCGAATAGTGCCCCATCATTGGTGTCAGGGGAAGGAATAGTGCCCCATCATTGGTGTCAGGGGAAGGAATAGTGCCCCATCATTGGTGTCAGGGGAAGGAATAGTGCCCCATCATTGGTGTCAGGGGAAGGAATAGTGCCCCATCGTTGGTGTCAGTGGGAGGAATAGTGCCCCATCATTGGTGTCAGGGGAAGGAATAGTGCCCCATCATTGGTGTCAGGGGAAGGAATAGTGCCCCATCATTGGTGTCAGTGGGAGGAATAGTGCCCCATCATTGGTGTCAGTGGGAGGAATAGTGCCCCATCATTGGTGTCAGGGGAAGGAATAGTGCCCCATCATTGGTGTCTGTGGAAGAGGGAGTGCCCCATCATTGGTGTCAGTGGGAGGAATAGTGCCCCATCATTGGTGTCAGTGGGAAGAATAGTGTCCCATCATTGGTGTCAGTGGGAGGAATAGTGCCCCATCATTGGTGTCAGTGGGAGTAATAGTTTCCCATCATTGGTATTAGTGGGAGTAATAGTGCCTCATCATTGGTGTCAGTGGGAGGAATAGTGCCTCATCATTGGTGTCAGTGGGAGGAATAGTGCCCCATCATTGGTGTCAGTGGGAGGAATAGTGCCCCATCATTGCTGTCAGTGGGAGGAATAGTGCCCCATCATTGGTGTCAGTGGGAGGAATAGTGCCTCATCATTGGTGTCAGTAGGAGGAATAGTGCCCCATCATTGGTGTCAGTGGGAGGAATAGTGCCCCATCATTGGTGTCAGTGGGAGGAATAGTGCCCCATCATTGGTGTCAGTGGGAGGAATAGTGCCCCATCATTGGTGTCAGTGGGAGGAATAGTGCCCCATCATTGGTGTAAGAGGAAAGGAATAGTGCCCCATCATTGGTGTCAGTGGGAGGAATAGTGTCCCATTATTGGTGTCAGTGGGAGGAATAGTGCCCCATCATTGGTATTAGTGGGAGTAATAGTGCCTCATCATTGGTGTCAGTGGGAGGAATAGTTTCCCATCATTGGTATTAGTGGGAGTAATAGTGCCTCATCATTGGTGTCAGTGGGAGGAATAGTGCCTCATCATTGGTGTCAGTGGGAGGAATAGTGCCCCATCATTGGTGTCAGTGGGAGGAATAGTGCCCCATCATTGCTGTCAGTGGGAGGAATAGTGCCTCATCATTGGTGTCAGTGGGAGGAATAGTGCCCCATCATTGGTGTCAGTGGAAGGAATAGTGCCCCATCATTGGTGTCAGTGGAAGGAATAGTGCCCCATCATTGGTGTCAGTGGGAGGAATAGTGCCCCATCATTGGTGTCAGTGGAAGGAATAGTGCCCCATCATTGGTGTCAGTGGGAGGAATAGTGCCCCATCATTGGTGTCAGAGGAAGGAATAGTTCCCCAGCTAAAAAACTCCTCCAGAAGCCCACTAGTTCTGGGTTTTTCCAGCCAAAAAACACTG